TGACTATCAATTTTTATGGGATTTCTGTAGAAAGCCTTGTCTTTCTCCCGCGGGACTGACCGGTAGTTTCAAACGGCTGACCTTGTAGTGAACAGCCCAGTGTCTAACCAATCCATCATCAGGGCTCCTCCTTAGTTGCAGCAGTCACCAGAATTGGGGGAAGGACACTGAGCTTTCTGGTCTCTTCATGTCAGAAGAGGGTTAGAATAGATATGGAAATAGCCAATTCAGGCTATCCCTCAAAGAGCAGTTTTCTACACAATTCCATTAAGTGGAGTTCTCAGCACATTCACGTGTAAGAATTCACTTCTCTACTGTAGTGGTTATCAAAAATCACCCGGGGGTCCTGTGGAATCAGAGTCTGAGCGTTGTTACGGACAGGGGTCTAAGAGTTTCCGTTTCTAAAATGTCCATGCTGCGGCTGCTCCACTAGTCATTTTCTCCCGTTTAAGCAAGGACTTAAACCAGGGATCAGCTCAGCAGTTTGTGGAAAAGAAACCATTGGAACACAGCTATGCTAACCCATCTGTGTACTCTTTGTGCTACAATGGCAGACGTAGGCAGCTGTGGTAGACTGTGTCGCCCTGCAAAGTCTAGAATAAGTTTACCTAGCCTGGGTTTCAGTGACTGGCTGCACACTGGACCACCATGGAAGCTTTCAAAGGAATAACGGTGCCAGGTCCTAGAGCTTTTGACTTCGATGTTCTAGGGTACGTACAGCCTGACCACTGGGGTCTGCCCTGCCTCCCATGATCCTCGGGTGAATCTGGTTATTAAAAGTTTGAGAACCCCTGGCTTAAATAGTAAAAAGGTCACCTTTCATTCATTCAACAGCTCCCAAGAAACGCAGCTGTAAAGTCGTCTAGTTCTGTAAGTTAACAACCTCAAAGAATTAGCTTCTTTCTACCTTCAACGGGTAGGTTTGGTTCTCAAAACTAACACTTCCTCTCTTGAGACAACAAGGCTTACACTCCCAATATCACAAGCAGGCTCCATCATGTCCGATAGGCAAGAAACTGCTTTTTTCCTCAAGCATCTCCTGAATAATGAGGAAACCTTTTCTGGACGTTTCGCAGTGCCCTCCTTGGGACAGACTAACCAGGGGGTGGGAGTGCTTCCGGGCTGAGGCCGCTGGTTTGCAGAGCCTGGTGCCTACAACAGAAGCAACACCCACTATCACCTGGGAATGTGCTCAAAATTCCCGTCCGTGGGCCTCTCCCAGCCAGAATGGGCAACTTGGGGCTAGAGGCTAGCAATCTGTATTCTTACAAGCCCTTCACGAGACTCTGATGCAGGTGTTTGGGAATGACTACTCTATACACTTACATTTGTCTCTCTACAGCTTTCTCCTATCCATGACAAGAAAGACATGGTAAAGTCTGAATAATAATATTCTTTCCTTTCTTAAGTTACATATAATGGTATTCTTTTATATTAAAGGGTAAACATAGTTATGTTTTGATATACATAAATTTCTATCAAAAGAAACTAAGGATTCTATCTCTTCCTATTGATTTTTAAATTAGTTCAATTCTAAATGGCTATTGAAAAGTAAAACTTGTATTAGTCAATGCTTAGATGCCAGGAGGAGTAAATAGAGATATGATTTTTGTTTTCAGAGGTTGCAATCTAATTATGGATTCCAGCTATATGACAAAATGAGCGAGACATAGGCAATGTAAATCTTTTATGAGTTCAGAATAAAGAAAGAATTACTAAAGATTAGTCTGGGAGGGGCTTTAGCAATGGCTGGGCCCCCAAGAAATTTACAATTCAGACTTGTCCTAAGTGGTATTTAAAAAAAAATCATTTTATTGGGGCTCATACAACTCTTATCACAATCCATACATACATCAATTGTGTAAAGCACACTTATACATTTGTTGCCCTCATCATTCTCAAAATTCGCTTTCCGCTTGGGTTTCTGGAATCCGCTCATTTTCCTTTTTCCCCTCTCCCTCTCTCCCCACTCCCCCTCCCTCATGAACCCTTAATAATTTATAAATTATTATTTTATCTTATACCTTCACAATCTGTCTTAAATCCTCTGAAATAAATAAAAGCACTGGCTGTGCGGCATAGAGAGTACACGGTGGTGTTAAAACTTACACCACCGTCATGAGTCTTCCTCCCCGTCCCCACAACACAGAACTTTATTGTTACAACAATGGAGCTCTTACTCAAGTAGTTCTTCTTCTTTAATCATTTTATTGGGGGCTTGTACTCTTATCACCATCCATCCATCCATCCATCCATCCATCCGTCAGCACATTTATACATTTGTTGCCATCATCATTCTCACCACATTTTCTTTCTACTTGAGCCCTTGGTATCAGCGCATTTTCCCCTCCTTCCCTTCCCCCCAACCCTTGATAATTTATAAATTATTATTTTTTCATGTCTTACACTGTCTGATGTCTCCCTTCACCCACTTTTCTGTTGTCCACCCCCCAGGGAGGGGGTTATATGTAGATCACTGTGATCTGTTCGCCCTTTCTCCCCCACCTTCCCCTATCCTGATATCTTTACTCATTATTGGTCCTGAGGGGTTTTTCTGTCCTGGATTCCCTGTGTTTCCAGCTCTGATCTGTACCCATGTACATTCTCTGGTCTAGCCGGATTTGTAAGGTAGAACTGGGATCATGATAGCGGGAGAACGAAGCATTAAAGAACTAGTGGAAAGTTGTATGTTTCATGGATGCTATACTGCACTGACTGGCTCGTCTCCTCCCGCAACCCTTCTGTAAGGGATGTCCAGTTGCCTGCAGATGGGCTTTGTGTTTCCCCTCTGCACTCCCACTCATTCACAGTGATGTGATTTTTTTGTTCTTTGATTCTTGATATCTAATCCTATCGACACCTTGTGATCACACAGGCTGGTGCGCTTCTTCCATGTGGGCTTTGTTGCTTCTCAGCTAGATGGCCCCTTGTTTACTTTCAAGCCTTTAAGACCCCAGATGAAATATCTTTTGACAGCCGGGCACCATCAGCATTCTTCACCACATTTGCTTAGGCACCAGCTTTGTCTTCAGCAATCGTGTTGGGAAGGTGAGCATCAAAGAAGGCCAGTTTAACAGAACAAAGTATTCTTGAACTGAGGGAGTCCTTGAGTAGAGGCCCAATGTCCATCTGTTACCTTAGTACTAAACCTATAAATATATACATGTAGATCTATTTCCCCATCATCATATATAAATATATTTACATGTCTGTACTTAGACCTCTAATAAATGCCCGTTGCCTCTTAGTTCTTTCCTCTATTTCCTTTTACTTTCCTCTTGTCCCACTATCATGTTCAGCCTTCATTTGAGCTTCAGTAATTCCTCTTGGTTACATTGCCCTTGATCAAGTCCTGGCAGGCCTCCTACACCCTCCTCACCATCAGTTTTGGATCACTTGTTGTTCCTTTGTCCCAGGGGTTGTTAACACCAACTTCCCTTCCCCCACTTCCTCCTCTCCCATGTCCCCCCAGAAGCACTGGTCTCGTTGTTTTCTCCTCCAGATTGTTCATCCAGCCTATCTTGCGTCTTAAATGAGATAACAAGCAGAGGGGAGGATGATGGCACAAGAGGCCCTTGAGAAACAGTTCCTTCTTTCTGGTTTTGAACGGCAATCTGTTTTTCAGTTTCCCCAGATAGTATACTTTAAGCATAGGTTCCCAAACTTATCTGGCCTACAACCCTTTTCAAGAAAAACAACAACAAATAAACCAAAAACAACAATAATAACTTATTCAGCACCCTCTGGCAATTAAAATTTTTTGTACTATAAGCCCATAATCTAGGATTTCAGGTAAGCTATCTGCTTTTGCAGCAACAACCCTGGATGGTTTCAGTGTCCCCTGGGGGTGGTATCACCCATTTTGTGAAACACCGTCTTAAGGTACAGAGTCTAAGGGTACAAATATCTAGTATGCATACTGGGCACAGTCAAGAAACTCACTACAGGCATGCTGAACACCACCTGACTCCAGGACAAAGACGACACCAGGATCTCCTGGGCTGAACCAGTAAGTGCTTGAGTTAGTTAATTGTGCCAGCCTGGCAGATAATCACATGTGGGGCTAATTGAAAGGCAGAGGGATAAAAGGGCGGTGAGTCTCGCCTTTCTAGTTCTCGGGTCTCTTGCTTTGTGATGGTCACACCAGGGTGCAGCTGCCTTAGCAGGTCCCTGCTTCAGCTTGCAAGATTGACTTCCTATAAGACATCCCCAAGGAGAAGCCACATGGACCTATCCCGATGCAGCCCTGGGTGCTGGAGCAGCTGTGTGGAGACCCCTGCTAGAGCTGAGATGCTTATCCGTTCACTGACTCAGCTTTCCTCCTGCAGTTGGCATCATTGCCTCTGTTTTGAGGTGGAGAACTTTGTGGACTGGTGTTGGGCTAATGTTGGGCTTGTGGGCTTGGGCAGCATTGGGTTGGGATGTTTTCGTGATGCACACGCGTGATGCACACTTTCTTTACATAAAACTCTCTTATATGTGAGTTGTTGTGGATTTGTTTCTCTAAAGTACCCAGACCAAGACAGTGCTCTAACTGATTTGCCATTGCAGCCACCAGCCCATGGCCCAGGTCTCAAGAAGACAAGGAGAACAAGTCTCTTCTTACTTATCCAAAAGCTAAGGAGCATGAGATCTTTCTACTAAATCACCTGTTCCTCCTATTTAGTAAGGCAAACGAGTGATTTGATTCTTGATCTTCTGCCATAGACAACCAAGACCATGCTGAAACAGAGCAATGGGAAGTCAGTCACAGGAATGTCTAGTAGGATTACACACAGTCACTCCTACAAGCACACTCTTCGTAGAGTGTCTGATAAACATTACCATGTCACAACCCAACTCCCCTTTTAGTCAAGGATGCACATGGTAACTATTAAAGGCCATCATTCTGAGGTCATGAGCATGCTTATTTAGCGAGTGGTGATAAATTAAAGAACTGCATGGACAGGGCATGTTCACGATTACAAGGCACAACTGCGCCCTTTCTTCCCTGTGCATACCTCCTCACAGACTTCACGGACTGCCGCCACACTGGGCTCCTCCTCGGGCTCCATGCCTCCTCCAGGGACAATCCATCGGTCTGGATGGCGACTGCTGCTCACGAGGAGCACCTGAAACACACAAGTTATGCAGGGCATTAAACACTCAGAAGAGACACAGGTATACACACGTAAAGTGGAAACACCAGAAGCAGGAAGTAATTGAGATCCATCCTTTATTTACATCTTTCCAAATCACTTCCTGCCAGGCAATTTTCATACCCTTGTTTGACAAAGTAGGTAAACAAGACAGTATGCCTCGTAAAAGCAGGACACTGGGACCAGTGGCCATTACCTCTGCTCACACTCTCGGTGACTTTCCTCTCACTGGTTCCTTTCTCTGAAGTCCTGTGAACAGAGGAGCTGACAAGGCGACAAAGGCTGAGGGATTTCTTTTAGGAGCAGGAGATTGTCAGTGTTGCACCTCTAAGCACTGTGAAGGGTTGGCCAGAAGGAGAGCAGTCCTCGGCCCTGGTGTGCATCTGGTGCAATCAAAGCTTTCCCTTTGTTGTCCTCCCTCTTTCAGAACCACTGGCTTAGAACATAGAGGGAATGTTTCATGACCTTGGATTTGGCAACGGATTCTTAGATACGACCACAAAAGCATGAACAACAAAAGGAAAAAGTTAAACTGAACTTCATCAAAATTAAAAAATTTTCTGTGCATCAAAAAATGTTATCAGTGATTAACTATTGAATTGTATGACATATAGATTATGTGCCAATAAAATTGTTTTTAAAAAGCATTAACTAGGGTGGAGGGAGGGTGAGGTGGAAAGGGGGAACCGATGACAAGGATCTACGTATAACCTCCCTGGGGGATAGACAACAGAAAAGTGGGTGAAGGGAGGTGTCGGACAGTGTAAGATATGACAAAATAATAATAATATACAAATTATCAAGGGTTCATGAGGGAAGGGGGAACCGAGAGGGAGGGGAAAAAATGAGGAGCTGATACCAAGGGCTCAAGTAGAAAGCAAATGTTTTGAGAATGATGATGGCAACAAATGTACAAATGTGCTTGACACAATGGATGGATGTATGGATTGTGATAAGAGTGGTATGAGCCCCCAATAAAATGATTAAAAAGAAAATTTCCGTAAAAGTCCTAAAAAACAAAAAAAAGTATTAACTACTTAAGAGAAACAGGCTATATTTTGGGGCAATGGAAGTGTTTTGTAACTAAATAAAGGTGGTAGTTGTACATCGTGAGCATACTGCCGCTGAATTGTTATAAAAATTTTTTTCCCTTAAGTACTAAAACTAGAGTTAGGAAGCACTAGATCTGCAGGATATATAAAGGGGCTTCAGAAAGCTGGTGGAGAGTGGGGGGAAATAGCTATTTTAAATTTCCATGAACTTTTTGATGCCCTGGCCTACTGATGCTTCTGTGTCCAGTGAACCTGAGGTCCTTTACCTGTACCTCTGAGCTAGCCAGCATCAAAGTCAAGTTTCACAATGGACCTGTAGCCCTGACAACAGGCACCTCCTAGGACGTCGGTTGTCAACCTGTGGGTCGCGACCCCTTTGGGGGCTCGAACGACCCTTTCACAGGGGTCGCCTGATTCTCATAACAGTAGCAAAATTAGTTATGAAGTAGCAACGAAGATAATTTTATGGTTGGGGGGCGGGGGATTCTGCACAACACGAGGAACTGTATTAAAGGATCGCGGCACTAGGAAGGTTGAGAACCACTGTCATAGGATATCTCCTCTACCAAGAAGCTCTGCTATTTGGAGAGACACCGGGCTCTTCTTTGGGCGGGATGAGTACTCATTACCGAGCACCTACTTACTATGCGTCCACTGCTTCCCTTATTCCAAGGAGCTACAACGACCCTTTCTCAACTTCTCACACGTTCCGATGTCCTGTCCTATGGCCTATGTCCACCCCTAAACAAGAGCTAGGTCCTGACTGAAACTTCAGTTACATGACAATCTACTATTTTCTTCCCTAGAGTCTACACCCCAGCGGTACAGCCTTTTAGAAAGTTCACTTTATTTTTATAATAAGTTATAAACCTAAAACAATATACTATTTATCCAAAAGAAAACATTTTCAACCTGAAAACTGTGATCAAGATTATATTTCTTGGAACTATATTTTGTCAAAGAGAAAATAAACTAAAATATAATGTTTGTTAATTTAAGTAAAAAAGTGGGGACTTCAAAGAGTCTCTTAGACAATGGCACTCAAGTCACGGTTATCAATCTACACGGAAGATTAAGGAAAAATAGTAGACAACAATGAAAACAAGAAAATGTTCTGAAATTTATTGTGGTGATAACTGTTCAATTCTTAATAGGATTAAACTAAACTATAAATTTGTGATATGAGAATTATAAGCTAATAAAATCATTTTTCAAAAAAGAAGTAGAAAAATGAGTGAGCCCTTCGCTGATTTCTTATATAACTAACAGTCATTCTTGTGAAGAGTTCTCCCACTCCCTGGCAAAACGTTTAGCAGCCATTTTAAACCTGTGCATTTGCTGCAAAGGCTAACAAGGGCCATCTAATTTATAGTGTTAATGAGACCTTTACAGGAACATTTCAAAGCTAAAGAGAAAAAGAAACCTTCTGGCATAAAATATAACCATTTAGTTTCAAAATTTCAATCAATGTGAAATGCTAATTAGTAAATTTAGTCAGCATTATTGCTTCACACATTCAAAGCATAACCATATGTAAGAATGGACAGGAAAAAGCCAGACTTGTAGTCACACTTCAAAGCAAACACATTGACCGGTAAATAGCTCTTCTTAGGTTTCCAGGACAATCTATTGAAAATGTACGGTTAAAAAAGACAAAAAACTTTAGGCCAGAGCTTTCACTCCCGTCTTATAAAACAGTAGCCAGTAAATTCTTAATGCTGACGTTTGCTTTTTAGATGCAAAGTTTTGAAGCAGGAACTGGGGTTCACAGATTAAGATAACGTCAGTTTTCGAGATGCTCCTCACAGGCCCATGGCCCTGCGGGGGACAACACCAGG